AGTACAGGGTAATTTGCTGTCTTTGGCTTAAAATATTATTTGAAGATATCAAAAATGGCAAGTGATAAAGAGACTCACAATAACACTACTGGCTCCCAGATTTAAAGATTTTCTAATTTAGGTGGCAAATTTGGGCATTGTAGAATATGTCCAGTATATGACTTGAACATCTAGGAGTCTTTAAAATGAATAGCTAGGTAGCTGAGTCTCAGTGATGTGGTGCCCCTTTTAATGGCTGTCCAAAATGCCTTCCAAATGTAACTCTGTGACAAAGTGGAAAGGAAGAAACTATAGAGGAGCAGTTAATCACCTAGGATTCTTAAGTGACCTGTTCAGTCACAGAATCAGGATGGTAGTGCCCAGACAGAATCTTGACAGCAGTCTGGAATAACAGGCCATGCTGTTTTTTTGTCCAGAATTTTTTGGCAATTATTGTCTTGCCCTTTCCCTTTCTAACCTTTTCTTAAAAAAAAACAAAAAAGAGAGAGAAAGAAATAAAAAATTGACTTTGTGACAAAGGGCATGAAATGTATGGTAGCTCTAGGAAGATAACATGTTTCAAGGAATGCCATCTGTGTCTGCTGCTTCATATAAATACTTCCTCATTTATCCTAAATACTTGCTGCCCTTTCTAATATGAAGAATATATTAATTGGGAAGAGTATAGTCAGATGTCTCTGGATTAACCATTCTGATCTTTATTAAACGATTAATAGACTCTAATGAGAGTTAGCAAAGAAAATTTGTCTATTTCTTCTTTTAGGAAGGCACACAGAAAGTTCATGTTTCAGTTCAGCCCTTTCACTTAAGAAGTGATGTTGTATGGGAAATATGCTGGTTTTCAGCTGTGTAGAGTTAGAAAGGCCATAGGCCATAAATACACTTTTCAGTGAATCAAGCAGCTCTTTTTTTACATGATAAAGTGTGCCATTCTTGTATTTTCAGAAAAAGAAGGGGAGCATTCAATTCCAAACAGCTGCTTTACCTGGAGAAATACCGACCTAAGATGCGATTACGCTTCAGAGATACCAATGGGCATTGCTGCGTTCAGTAGAAAGAAATGTATACGAAGGCTGACTTGATCGTGGCATTTAGAGGGAACTCTTGGTACCTGGAAATGTGAATCTGGAATCTTAACTGTGTCATCAAAGTAGTGATGGATTCAGTACTCCTCAACCACTCTCCTAATGATTGGAAAAAAACAAACAAAAAAGAATATATCCCTCTATAACGTGAATAAAATGTTTAAGAAAAGAAAAAGAGAAAGAAAAAAAAGGATTAATTTAGTGAAGGATGATTTTGCTCCTAGTGTTGGAGTTTGAATTTCTGCCAGGATTGAATTATTTCAAAATCTCCTGTCTTTTTAAACTTTCTCAAAATAGGTCTCTAAGGAAAACCAGCAGAACATTAGCCTCTGCAGAACCATCTGTTTGGGGAGCACACTCTTCCATTATGCTTGGCACATAGATTTCCCTTTTGTGGATTTCTTTCTTTCTTGGGGGCGGGGGGGTGGGGAGGCACGGTGTATTTTTCCCTTCTTCTCACTTTCTTCTGTCCCTCTTTTTTCCCCTGATACAAGTTGTAGGTGAAATAGGAGAAGCCCATGTTGCTGTAGATGTGCGTGCAGTCTGGCAGCCTTAAGCCCACCTGGGCACTTTTAGGGAAAAAAAACAAAACAAAAAAACACCAAAAAAAAGAAAAAACAAAAAAAGGCAGTGGCGTATATAGTATATGATCCAGGTGTTTTTTAGTCTTTACTGATGATGGGGTATTCATGTTAGTTTCTTTTCTTGAAAACCCTATTCAACATTAGGCAAAGTAGGCAGGAGCCTTTTTTGTTTTGATAAATTTGTGGGGAAATGGCATTTTAAGAGGAGTCTCTCAAAGAACTTAGCTGAGAGTCGAATTCATCTCTTTTCCAACCAATGAAGCTAAGTGGATGTCCCAGAGATTGTTGTTTTCGGAAGGGGAGTACTCCAGGCCGTCACTAAAGATATGTCCAGGCAGAGCATTAGCACACTTTCTACACCTTGTAGAATTGTGGGCTGTAGCATTACTCTGATTTTCTGTCTAATGATGTCAGAGAATGCTGTTAGTGTAAAGTTTTTATTTTAGGACTTATTTGTACTCTGAATTTTCAGGAACAGTCAAAGGAGTAGCAGCAAAGATACAATATTTTAGACTTGAGAAATGCCTGTAATGGGTATTTCCCAAACTGCCCCCTATATGTACAGTTCAGTTTAACCACTGATTGCCTTGTTATTTTCTTACTAGGTTCTTTGTGAGATTAAAAAAAATTTTTTTTGCTGGTTCAAAACCAACAATGCCTAGTGAGTATGTGTCCACAGGCCATAATAGGGTAGAAGAGAGACATAGAGCAGCTCATTGTGTAGCAAAGGGACTGTGTGGCTAGTGCAGTGGTGTAGTATCATTTCTGCAGATTCTTTGCTGGGTTCAATGTACTGATCTAGAAAAGCTGTTTTGCTGCTCCTTTGCAGTTGTGACCAGGCTGCATTGACAAAGCAAGTTGGAGGATACCATCAGGGGCTCTTGCACTCTCCAGCTGAATATTACATAATTAATAGTGCTCTGCTTCTAAGGATTTGAATAAAGTCTTATGGTCATCTTGTCCTGTTGGAATTTGCTGTGCAGAGCCATAAACTTCCCATTTTGTTAGGATCAGCTAGGCCAGTAGGAATGGACCAGGACCTTGTTTCACACTGATGATACCTCAGATGTTGGCTGGCTATGTGAACTGCCTATTTCCTATGCCGAGTTGTTTTGATTTTTAAATAAATAAAAATCTGTAGATTCTCTTCTCCCCCATCCCAGAAAACAAAACGAAATAATGCTTTTTGAAATTGTTTCTAGGATTTTAAAGTGAAAAATGATGGTACTATCCAAAATTCTTTATTTCAGAACCTGACAGTAGATTCCTTTAACATAGGCTCAAGATCAAAACAGCATACCCTCTAAGCTCAGATAGACAGTTGACTCCAAGGGTTTTGATCAATACCAGAACAAACCTTTTTCCTTTGACATGCTCTGAGTTTTGTTGTTTGGAGGGAGGGAAGGAGGGAGGGGGAGAGAGAGAGAAAGGGAGAGTGAGCGTGTGAGAGTGTGTGTGTGTGTGTGTGTGTGTGTGTGAGAGAGAGAGAGAGAGAGAGAGCGCGAGAGAGCAGTATCCACCAGTAACAGTGCCTGCCTGAGTTAGGAAAATTACATTCCTGGTTCTGTATGAGGAGAAGGGTATATAAAGCAACATGAAACATTAGCCCTCATTTTGTTTTAAATTACAGACTAATGTTAATTGTTCTCAGAACTGGATTTTCTTCAAAATTAAACATTTTTTTTCTTTTGGATTTAATGAAGTATTGCTAGCTGAAGCCAGTTTGACATGGTGAGGGAGATGTCAGACTGATGAAAGGTGTGCAGCCTGATTTAAAACCAAACCCTGAGCCCTTTTAAAGAACAATAAAACATATTTTACATGCTCTTTGTCTGTGCATTTGTTCTCCACCCTCAGGTTGAGTTTCATTTATGTCTCCTTAGAAAACTTGGTATTCTCAAGGCCTGTTTTGGATCCCGCTAATAATGACTTCGGAGGTGAAATAATTAGAGGTTGGGAAGTTCGAAGATTTCATGCCTCCCAGGTGTTCAGTAAGGGCAGACTTAAGAGTAGTTGGGATACATCCGGTTCATTTTCTGGTTCAGTTCTTGGACACAACACTGCAGGAATTCAGCATCTTGTCTCTTTTCAAAGGATGTGTTTATACCATAGGGTTTTGTTTTTTTTTTATCATTTTATTTTTGGCTGTGTTGGGTCTTCGTTGCTGCGCGCGGGCTTTCTCTAGTTGTGTCGAGCAGGGTCTGCTCTTCGTTGCGGTGCGTGGGCTTCTCATTGCAGTGTCCTCTCTTGTTGCAGAGCACGGGCTTTAGGTGTGCAGGCTTTGGTAGTTGTGGCACGCGGGCTCTAGAGTGCAGGCTCAGTAGTTGTGGCACATGGGCTTAGTTGTTCTGCAGCACATGGGATCTTCCCAGAACAGCACTCGAACCCGTGTCCCCTGCATTGGCAGGCGGATTCTTAACCACTGTGCCACCACGGAAGTCCTATACCATAGGGTTATTTATTTATTTATTTACAGCTGTGCTGGGTCTTCGTTGCTGTGCACGGGCTTTCTCTAGTTGCGGCGAGCGGGGGCTACTCTTCATTGCGGTGCGGGGGCTTCTCGTTGCAGTGGCTTCTCATTGCGGAGCAGGGGTTCTAGGCATGTGGGCTTCAGTAGTTGCGGTGGGCGGGCTTAGTAGTTGTGGCTCGTGGGTTCTAGAGCGCAGGTTCAGTAGTTGTGGCTCGTGGGTTCTAGAGCGCAGGCTCAGTAGTTGTGGCACACAGGCTTAGTTGCTCCGCGGCATGTGGGATCTTCCCGGACCGGGGCATGAACCCGTGTCCCCTGCATCGGCAGGCGGACTCTCAACCACTGCGCTAGCAGGGAAGCCCAGTTTCTGTGTTTAAAGTCATGATCTCAAGTAGACCTTAGTGCCATCTGACAATCCTACTGTGTTTCTCTATCCCATTTACTCTTTTTGTCCTCTTGAAAACTCTTACATTTTAACATCTTTCTCATCCTCACTCTCCGCTTAAGACTTTAAAAAAAAAAAAAACCTTAGAAAATAGAAACAAGGAAATTCCACAGGCTTCTACCATCACATCTTTGTTAGAAGTACTTTGAGTCACTTTTTAAAATTTATTTTTGGCTGAGTTGGGTCTTCGTTGCTGCTCGCTGGCGTTCTCTAGTTGAGGGGAACGGGGGCTACTCTTCGTTGTGGTGTGCGGGCTTCTCATTGGATGGCTTCTCGTTGCGGAGCACGGGCTCTAGGCACGTGGGCTTCAGTAGTTGTGGCACACGGGCTCAGTAGTTGTGGCACATGGGCTTGGTTGCTCTGCGGCATGTGGGATCTTCCCAGACCAGGGCTCGAATCTGTGTCCCCTGCGTTGGCAGGTGGATTCTTAACCGCTGCGCCACCAGGGAAGCCCCTGAATCAGTTTCTTAATAACCAGTAGGGCCTTGACTAGAAAGGATTATACAAATATCATGTTAAGTGCTGTGATTATAGCACCTATAGGAAGAGTGATGATTTACTTGGTATTTGAGCACCTGCCACATACTACACACTATTCTAAGCACTTAGGATATGGTGGCAAATAAGACAGATGTTGCCCTTACAGGGTTTAAATTCTAGTGGAGAAGATAGAGAATAAATAGGTTCACATAAGTAATATACTTTCAGATAGTGGTTCGTACTGTGAAGCTAGGAAGAAAGTAAAATAGGTAAGGGGCTAGTGACTGGGGTTATGTGTGGAGTTAGGTGGGATGGTCAGGGAAGATCTCTGAGGAAGGTGAAGGAGGCTACTATGTGCAAATGCTATGTGAAGGCAGTGGAAGTACTTTCCAAGCAGTGTAGGTGAAATCTATATTTTGGCTGAGCTGCGCAGCATAGTTCTACTAGGGAGCGAACCCTCTCCCTTTGCAGTGGAAGCGTGGAGTTTTAACCACTGGACCACCAGGGAGGTCCCATGAATGTGAAATTCAGGCAGAGGCCAAATTGTGTGGATTTTGGGAGGCTGGGAAGATGGGAGTCATATTGTAGAGGGTATTGCATATCATAACAAGAAATTTGAAAGTTTATTTACTGTTTTTAATCAGGAGGAAACATCAGACTCAACTATGTGGTTTATTCAAAGTGTCCATGTCCAGGCATCACTAAGGTCATTCTGAATCAGTCTTGAGTTGGGAGTCTATTCTGGGCAATGGGGAGCCTCTGGAGGTTGGTAAACAAAGAATTGCACGGTCAGATCTATGCTTAAAAAGCTTATTCAAGAAATCCTTAAATTAGAGGCCATACCTTTTACGTAAACTCAGTGGCTGATTTATACTATGCATGCAATAAATAACAGTTGAATGAATGAAAGAATGTATTGAAGAGAGTAGAAGCTGAGAGACCATTTATGTGTAGTAGATTGATGGCTTGCAATAGGCCAGGAGAGGTGTTTTTAGTGTTGGGGCCTCTGTCTCCTTTGCTAATTTGGTGTTGGGGCAGTCTGGAAGATGGAGGCACAAAGAGATATTACTACCCAATTTCTGCTGAGTATGACTGGACTCAGAATTTCACTTACGTTATCTCATTTAATCTTCATAGGCTTCTGCTCTTTGCTAACTGCTTGACTGTACTGCTAGAGTAGAATGGCGAGATGTTTATGTTCAGCATATTGCTGTGGGTTTTTGTACTCAGTACCTATTAATTGAGCTGCATCTTTATGTTAAATGTTGGGGGCGGGGGAGAGAGGAGCACATGTGTCTGTGTACAGCGGTTCTGTCTAGCCACTGGCTTCAACGTGTGCAAACCGTGTGTAATGGGCCCCACCACTAACAAACCAGGACATTTGAGCAGAGTGGTTTATAGTTTATAATTGGCTTCCTATTACTGTTGGCTGATTCTCCTGCACAGAGAGTATTACTCCAGGATTGGTATTTGATTTAAGAAATTTTCAAATTGATTTTATCTTCAGTGCATTAATGCGTGGCCTAAATTCTTGCAGAGCCATTAGATAACCAGCCTGGACATGCTTTAGCAATTGTAACTGGATCTGAGCTGGCAGTGCTACAGCTTTTATTCAGCATAGATAAATCACTTTTCTGAAAACTCTTTTCTGCTTAAGCCCTGTGACTTATTTTTTAGGACACCTCAAGTTTAGGCCCCTTGAAACTGGAATATATTCCCCAAATCATGCTAAGACACACAAACAGGAATTTGTTAACACAAGTAGAGTTAATCTCTATCTTCCTGTCAGAACAGAACACAAATATTCAAGGAATGGTGTGGAAATCAGCGTAATTTTCAAGCGTGCACAATTGTAATGCCTTTTAAAATCTGGAAATGTGAAATGTGACTCCAGTAATGAAAATGCTATAAACGTAACTGAGTACATGGAAAACTGGAGGATGTTCTGCAATTTCATGAGGATTAGCATAGGTAAATGTTTTTCGTGAAACATTTTTTTTCAGCTCCAGAAGTGCAGAATAGATCACAGCTGCATGAAAATACCAATCATCTTCTAATGCTTTTATGCAAATGATTATATTTGACTTTCACTTAGAGTTGCCATTAACACCTGGAACCCTAAGATTGATAACAGGTAAAATTTTAATGAATACACAAATTAGAGATTTGAATCATGTTTAGATTAATTTATAGTACCTTTATTCATTACTGCAAATCCTCTTGAAATCTAAAAATCACAGGATGAGACAGAAAATAGAGAAGAGGAGACAGCCTTTGAACTTATCAATTTTTTTGAGTGGTGAAAAAGGATGACTTGGAAATACTAAACCCTGCAAGTGTTTTTTTCTGCCCTTTGCAATAATTTGCCCAGATGCTAGGCCTGCGTATCCTGCAGAAGACTTTTATTGTCTCATGCCCTGAGATAACACTGGTCTTCTTTTTTTTTTTTTTTAATGATTTTTCTTCCTATGCACACTCCTTGCTTTAAAAAATATTTTTTAAAAAAGTGAAAGTCAAAATTGTCTTGTTTTAGACGTTTTGGGAAATACAGAGGATGTGAAGAAAAAAAACATTGTCCTGACATCCAGGGACAACCATTATTATATGGTGTGTCTTTTCCCCTCCTTACCCCCATGTATAATTGTATTTATATAATTATGTATCTTCCTTTTCCACTTACAAAGCCAAAATAGTATTTACATTTATTGAAAGTTTACCATGTGCCAGGCACTGTGCGTAGTGTTTTAAGTGTATTATCTATTGAGTGGTAGATAATATTACCTTCATTTTACAGATTAGGACATGGAAGCTCAGAAAGGGTAAGTACCTTGCCCAGTATCACACATTTAGTAAGTGGCAGAGCTAGAATTCTAACCTGAAATGTCTAACTCAGAAACCCTGATTATATCACTGTGCTATACTCCCCTTGCATTCAGTAAGTGGAAGCTCTTACTATTAACTGAAACCAAGTTGTCCCCTGAGGGCACTGTTTTCTCTGCAACCTCAAGAAACAAAAACTGCTCATTCTCCCATGACCCATGTACTACAAAGGCCAGTGGGAGATGAGGGGTCGGCTCTCTGTGGCCACGTCCAGACCATTGTTCTTCTGCCCTTGGGTAATACCAGCTTGAGACAGTTATCTTCAAGGTGTTACAACCCCTACCCCTCATTGTTGCTCTCCTCTGCTGCTCTCCCCGTCAGTCAATGCATGGAGTTCCGTGGACCTTGAAGGCCCACCCTTGTCATTCTCTCGTCCTTGGCAGATTCAGTGCCTCCTCCAGCCGCTCGGCATCGAAGGCCTTTACTACCTTAAATCCAATGGCGCATTCCCATAGGAGTGAGACTGTTGCCTCTGAGGTAGTCAGGAGGTTAAACAATGTCTGGGGGGAAATCAATTGTGTGTACATATGTGTATATCTACACATGTACATATATACATACACACATGTTTACTATACATTTTACTGTATAAAGGATGTGTAACGTACAATTTTAAAGTAATAAAATATGCATTACTCTATTGTAAACTCCATATAGCCAATTAATTCTCACAGAATGCTTTTGTTGATTTTTGCCAAACTGTTATATCCTAGCCAAACTATGGTTGCAATTGACAAACCCACCGTAAATGATGGTCGATATTTTCCCTTTTGTTAAAGACACAAAAGTAGAACAGTGAAGACTTATGTTAGAACTTCACTCATTCATCAATGATGTGACTTCTTTGTGGAACTGGAAAATAGTTTCTGAATGCTGGAGGACTATTTCTTCAATTTTTTTGGTGCTGCTTACAATGTAGTGGCTACAGACAGGATGCACTTTTAAGTTTAATATGCATTCCTAACATTTTCTCCATTAATTTTTTTAAATTATTTATTTTTATTTTTGGTTTCATTGGGTCTTCATTGCTGTGCACGGGCTTTCTCTAGTTGCCGTGAGAGGGGGCTGCTCTTCCTTGCGGTGCGTGGGTTTCTCATTGTGGTGGCCTCTCCTGTTGCAGAGCACGGGCTCTCGGCGCGCGGGCTTCAGCAGTTGTGGCACGTGGGCTCAGTAGTTGCAGCTCGCAGGCTCTAGAGCGCAGGCTCAGTAGTTGTGGTGCACAGACTTAGTTGCTCCGCGGCATGTGGGATCTTCCTGGACCAGGGCACGAACCTGTGTCCCCTGCATTTGCAGGCGGATTCTTAACCACTGTGCCACCAGTGAAGCCCTCCATTAATTTCTTTTTTTTTTACGGTACGCGAGCCTCTCACTGCTGTGGTCTCTCCCGTTGCGGAGAACAGGCTCCGGATGCACAGGCCCAGCGGCCATGGCTCACGGGCCCAGCCACTCTGTGGCACGTGGGATCCTCCCGGACGGGGGCACAAACCCATGTCCCCTGCATCGGCAGGCGGACTCCCAACCACTGCACCACCAGGGAAGCCCGAGGGGACTGCTCTTCGTTGTGGTGCATGGGCTTCTCATTGCAGTGGCTTCTCTTGTTGTGGAGCATGGGCTCTAGGTGCACGGGCTTCAGTAGTTGCGGCACGCGGGCTCAGTAGTTGCGGCTCGCGGGCTCTACAGCACAGGCTCAGTAGTTGTGGCGCATGGGCTTAGTTGCTCTGTGGCATTTAGGATCTTCCCGGGCCAGAGCTCAAACCCGTGTCCCCTGCATTGGCAGGCAGATTCTTAACTACTGCGCCACCAGGGAAGCCCTATATATATTCTTAGGATTACAATTTCCTACCCATAAAAAAAAAGAAATAAAAGAAAGTAATGCACAATAAAATGTATTTAAAATTTTTAAATACTTAGGCGTGATTACCCTAGAAGTGACTGCAATAGATGTTTGCATCTACACATAGAATCACCCTGGAGGCCACGGCTATAAATGTAGACTGATGGCTATGTGTTGCACTTCAAAAACTATGAGCACTGCTATTGGTGACAAGCTCTTCCAAAAGCAATTCTCTATACAGATCAAATCCCTTGATTTTCATTTGAGTTGCACTCCTGGCAAGTATTTTTAAAAACCATGCTTGTATGTAAAATGGATATAGATTCTAGGCTCAGATATTTTTATAGGTTTTTCATCTTTATAAATGTGCAGTAGGGCATTTGAAAGTGGATCACGGGACCATTCTGTATTATGTGGGATATCCTAAATTTTCCAGATGTCTAGAACCCCTGGCCCCTTCCTCTAAACGTCATCATTCTGTAATGGGTATTTCCTCACTGAGCACCACTGAAGCTATTCCAGCCATCTCCTTTTCCAGACCAGTTTACTGGGGCTTAGAGAGGGAATTTAAAATAGACATGTATTACTTTGACTGCTTGTTCACCCCATCCACACCTTCAGCCATGTGATCACGGTGGGAGATGTCTTGCTCGTAAGCAGGATTCCATCTCGGCCACGTTTATCCACTTTATTCTTTTCTTTGCCTATACACCATCTTTTTTCCCTAACCTTCTCCCTCCTTCCCTAACACCCAACCCGTTAGCAAGTCCTGTTGGTGTGCCTTCAATATGTGCCTTCTACTGGTGCCCTGCTACAACCTATTCTCATAGCAGCCAAAGGAGCTTTTGAACAAAAATCACATCAAGCCAGTCCTCTGCTTCAACTGCCCCAGAGGCTTCCCAAGACACTGGGAATAAAATGCAACTTCCTCTCCCTGCGCTGCAAGGCCCTACATGGTCTGGCCTCATCTCCTTCCATTATCCTGACTATGCTCCAGCCACCTGGCCTCACAGACCTGCCCCATGGTCTTTACCCATGCTGTTCCCTCTAACTTCTCTTCTGCCAGATCTTTGGAGAGCTGACCCCTTATCCTTCATGTCTATTCAAATATCACCACCTTAGAAACCATCCTTGGCCACCTTATCTAAGATAACCCCATGCCCCATCACTCTCTATCCCCTTTCTCTCAGTTTTGCTCTTTGAAGCACTTCCCATGATTTGAAGTGGGAGTGTTTATTTGTTGGCTCGTTTATTGCCTGCCTCCTCACTAGATTGTAAGCTCCACTGGGGCAGAGACTTCGTTAGTCTCATTCTCTGAGGGATCCTGGGGCCTAGCACAGTGTCTGCAAGTGCTGATCAATAATTTTTTTTTTTTTTTTTTTGCGGTACGCGGGCCTCTCACTGTTGTGGCCTCTCCCGTTGTGGAGCACAGGCTCCGGACGCGCAGGCTCAGCGGCCATGGCTCACGGGCCCAGCTGCTCCGCGGCATGTGGGATCTTCCCGGACCGGGGCACCAACCCGTGTCCCCTGCATCGGCAGGTGGACTCTCAACCACTGCGCCACCAGGGAAGCCCTGATCAGTAATTTTTGAATAAGTGAACAAAGGCCTAACACACAACTCAGAACGGACCAATCAGAATCCTTCTCCATGAATTTTGCAACTTGACTCAGAGAGAAGTTCCTTTTTGTTTTTTTTTTTTGATACCTGGGCCTTAGAATATAAAGCTCAGAGAGTACTGGCTGCTGAATGTTCTGCCTTTCAGGCCAAAGAACTGGAGAGAGAGAAGAATGATGTAGGCATACGGAGAGCCAGAGAAAAGAGAGGGAGAAAGATGAAGAGAGTATATTTGCAGCAGTGGCTGGTGGGCATCAGATGTCCCTGGGGTCCAGTTGCTAACCTGGTCTCTGTGTGTGTGTGGATGTGCCCACGTGTATGTCCTGTTTGTAAAAATCAATTTCATTGAGGCGTAATTTACATGCAGCAAAAATCACTGATTTTAAGTATGCAATTTGATGAACTTTAATGCTGTGCACAGTCGTGTAATTACCACCACAATCAAGATATAGAACATTTCCTTCAACCCAAAAAGCATAACCTCTGGAACTTGAGTTCCACATGATACTCCATGATTCTTTTTGTAAAAAACAGCTTTGTTGAGGTTTTATATACAATAAGCTGCACATATTTAAAGTGTGTAATTTGATAAGTTTTGACATATGTATACACCCGTGAAACCATCACTATAATCAAGATAGTGAACATCTCCATCACCCCTGAAAGTTTCCTCCTGCTTCTTTGTAATCCTTCCCTCTCATCCCCCTTTACCCCAACCCGAGCAACCACTAATCTGCTTTGTGTCACTATAGATCAGCCTGCATTTTCTAGAGATTTTTATAAATGAAACCATGCACTCCTTTTTGGTCTGGCTTTTTTCATTCAGCAATTTTTTTTTTAGATTCATCCATGTTGTTGCAAGTATCAGTAGTTAATTCATTTTTATTGCTGAGTAGTATTCCATTGGATTGATATGCCACAATTTGTTGGATATTTGGGTTGTTGCCAGTTTGGGATTATTACAAATAAAGTTGCTATGAACATTCCTGTACAGGTCTTCATATGGACATAATATTTCTTTTTCTCTTGGACAAATACCTAGGAGTGGAATGGCTGGATCCTGTTACCCTTACGTTATTCTTTTTTTTTTTTTCTTAAACTTGGATGCATTTGTGAAGTGTCCATTAACAGCATTTTAATTTTTTTTATTTTTTAATTTTTAATTTTATTTTTTTGGCCACGCGTCTTGCGGATCTTAGCTCCCCAACCAGGGATCGAACCCGGGCCCCTAGCAGTGGAAGCGCAGAGTGCTAACCAATGGACCGCCAGGGAATTCCCTCCCTTGTGTTATTCTTAATAATATGTTTCACTTTTTGGCTGAAACTAATCAATTTCGGATTGGTCAAGGCCCCTCATCAGGATGGGGACTCAGTTCGCTCCCTCTCAAGGGTCTCAAGGCTGCCTCTGGTCCTATGTGAGCCGTGGTGCAGTGGCAGGCTGAGGCGCACCTTATCTTCCTGAGCACGTCTCGATGGAGAAGCGATGCTGGC